GTTTTTGGTGCTGTGCCGTTGAATTCGCTTTGTTTGCAGCGGCTATAAATTCCAGACAAACTGACAGGCGTACTAAACCGTTTAGGGTGTTCACAACAGCATAGTTTAGATTTATTTAGAGAAGGAAAAATAGGATTTCTTTAAAATAATTGGTCACAAACTGGTGCATAATTTCAAAATTAGCAACAAACGAGAATTAAATACCAGCAAAGCACAAGTTCTAATACTCTTGCTGATTATATGTCAATATATCTAAACAATTTTAATAAGAAATGAGGCAAACTTTGGCTAGCCGTAGCTAATCTTCCCTTAATTTTAAGCGCTTATCTATAAAATAAACATTAAGCTACATAAGTCATGTCGATTTTCCGCCTTTTAAAAACTGGATTTTACTTAGTTCACTTTTGACACTTTTTTTCATCAGTGGGAGTATTATTTGAATAAAGTCTGATGTGTGGTTCTGTTTCGCATTAGAAATCTGCAAATAAAATCCATAAGGGACAAAAAACGTTCAGATTTTATCGACTTGTGTTTTTAACTATTTAAAAACGTATTTTTTACAGAAATACGTTTCTTAGTTAAGACCAGAAAGCCGAACTTAGAGTTCTAGCACTTAAAAATAAAAGTCTGTTAATCATGGGGAAAATGACCATATTGACAGCCCTAGCTAGTCACATTTGAACGTGTCAGCCCGAAAGTATGTTCCTTAATTTTTGAAAGACTGTCAGTTTCTCTTTTATAGCAGTGGGAATTAAGTAAAAGCCACTTATTATTGGGACAATATGTAACAATTTAATAAATAATAAATAATTAATAATAAATCGCTTGTTAACTTGTGGTTAATCTTACGGTTTACTTAGTTCACAGTCATTATGGTTTTATTTCAGAGATTTCATGGACTACAAAAAAACAAAAACAAAACGTATTTATTCAATATTCAAATTAAAACCCTTGAATTCCATTTACTATACTTTATAATTATTAGTGTCAATACCCAAAATATTTAAACCTTTCGCCTTGGCATGAATTCCGATTTATGTTATCTGACATTCCCCTGCCATTATCTTTTCATTCCCTCGGAATTCCTCGGAAGTACTTTATACATATCTCGACAATTAACCATCCGACTTGCACAACGCAAATATTTAACATTTATATTGATATGGTGACTCACGGGTAACGTACTCGCACTTATCGGATTTATGTCCAGAGTACCCATTGACGACCAATGGAACGCCCTGTTGCGTCTGAATATCTAGGCAATGATTTCTATTTTATTTCATAGTTTCGTTAGTTTCCGCCCAGCTGATAAGCTGCTAATCACGCTTTCTTACAATGAGCAGCTGGGTTCGAGCGTTGATAAATTGTTGTTTTTGCTCAATATACAAGTTTGGGATAACACACAATCACAGTCAGAATGTTCCGTTGAACTTTCGCCATTTTATTTAGCTTGCTTCTGCTTCTTGTTCATCATTATTTGCTGCTGTTTATTGTCGTTTGCTTTTTAAGATTGCGCGAATGTTTAGTCATCTGATCCACAAACGACTCTCTCCTCGCGAGTTTCTCTTATTGGATTTTCTCTTCGACTTGGCTCTTTGCAATTTGAAAATGTTCATAGAAAATTTTCAGTCCTAATTTTTGTATCATTAATTTTTCGAAATGTTCTGCAACCTCCAGTTCTAGTCAAGCTTTAAATTATGATTTATGGAAACAACAAGAGGCAACTAAGCAGAACAACAACAATGTAATGTCCAAAGAGGCAAACTTATTGAAAGCGCACTTGAAGTGCAAATTTGTTTTTTGATTTATGATGTCTGCTTTGAGGTTATGGACGAGCAGGACGCCACGACTCAGAAAGGAACGAAACGGGAAGGGTCGGGGAACGGGTGGCAGCAATGGCCATTGCTCTGGGCGTTACTTTATGCTACTCTTTCCTTTCCCTTCCTTGTTTTATTTCCCCACCAGTCCAGCTCGAAACAATGGCTAGGAAAACTAATCGAACTCAGCCAACAAAACACAAATGGAAATGGCACTGGCGGGGAACGCGGAATGATGAAAGGGACAACCAGTGCAGTTTATGACGTCTGCATGCAAATGGCTTCACTTAGCTCTCACGTGTTTCAATTACATGTGTTTATGCAAAATCAGGAGCAGGTTAAATGATAATGACTTCCTCCCATGCCATTATCCCATTTCAACTTTTGCGGCCCATTTATGACAGTAATAGTATGTGTATGAGACAATTAAAAGTGTAGTTTAAAATTGATTCTTCATTAAAGTTGTATTTTATACGTTCCTTTTGTTGTAATCGTATAAAGATTTAATATATTATATTTTTAATTAGCATTTAAAGTTCTGGTTGAACGACAATGTTTAATTTTGTTTTTTAACTGATGTACTATATAATTGTATTCTAAAAGAGGTACGAAGATTTGTAGGATTTAATTTTAGAAAGATTATGTTTTCTATCTTTAAGTCTATCTTTAAAATATGTTCTTTCGTATAATCGTATAGTCGTCACTTTAGGAGTGTTGGTATTAATCTTAAAACAACCTTTAATTAATCCTCAGGTGGTTAAGACGCTAAAAGGTTGTTTTTATATCCTTACAGAGGTTAATTTCAGCACTAACCATACAACATATAGACTGGTCATTTCATACGACGCATTTGGACACAAAAATTCGGACCGCGGAAGGTCCACCGCTCTCACAGCAGCAGGTCCATGCACTTCGTGTGCGTTCGGGTTTTTTACTCTCTCATTCTTATTCTCATTTTTATGCTCGCGCACTCATTGCACGAGTTCAGTCGTTCAGTCGCAGAGAGGCGCTTTTTGAAGAAGGCTGCCCTGCGCTTGAATTCGTCTTTGTATGTATGCGTGATCATGCATTCTCATACACGGGAGCTTGTGTGCGTTTATTTCATTTCGGCGCATCAAGAATATTTTGTCTTTTGCCACTTTTCAAACTTGGTACCCTAAGAATATGGGCGTATTTACTATTGGGTTATGATATAAATATTAATATTATATGTTACAATATATTTTTTTAATATTTCAGCATACATTTTATTTTTGTTTACAAATTCAAATCAGTGGTAGCAGTAAAATGAATTTATAGAAATCAGTCCACTGAGATGGGAACAGGGCATATCGTAGTCGTGTCACTTGAAACACCGACTGCTCTTCAGTGGTTGAGAAAACTTCAAACTAAATCAATTCTTGTCGATGTTTTGCGAGCGGTTGGTGCCTGCATACCCTACCGACGATTGCTTTTAAGAGGAGCGGGCTTTTAGGACACTTGTTTTAAATGTTATGTTTAGTGATCTTTGGTTGATTTATTTTTTAATGATTTGCAGTGTTATTTTAATTGTCTTTAAACAATTCGTTAAAATTCAAGATATTGGTACAATTAAAATCTAAAATTATAATCATTAAAATAAATTATTATCATTAAAAATATGTGGATTTTTATATTTGTTCCATTTACATTTTCAAAAATATAAAAAGTATTTTATTATTTATTACTTGTTTAAAGACAATTAAAATAACACTGCGAATCATTAAAAAATAAATCAACCAAAGATCACTAAACATAACATTTAAAACAAGTGTCCTAAAAGCCCGCTCCTCTTAAAAGCAATCGTCGGTAGGGTATGCAGGCACCAACCGCTCGCAAAACATCGACAAGAATTGATTTAGTTTGAAGTTTTCTCAACCACTGAAGAGCAGTCGGTGTTTCAAGTGACACGACTACGATATGCCCTGTTCCCATCTCAGTGGACTGATTTCTATAAATTCATTTTACTGCTACCACTGATTTGAATTTGTAAACAAAAATAAAATGTATGCTGAAATATTAAAAAAATATATTGTAACATATAATATTAATATTTATATCATAACCCAATAGTAAATACGCCCATATTCTTAGGGTACCAAGTTTGAAAAGTGGCAAAAGACAAAATATTCTTGATGCGCCGAAATGAAATAAACGCACACAAGCTCCCGTGTATGAGAATGCATGATCACGCATACATACAAAGACGAATTCAAGCGCAGGGCAGCCTTCTTCAAAAAGCGCCTCTCTGCGACTGAACGACTGAACTCGTGCAATGAGTGCGCGAGCATAAAAATGAGAATAAGAATGAGAGAGTAAAAAACCCGAACGCACACGAAGTGCATGGACCTGCTGCTGTGAGAGCGGTGGACCTTCCGCGGTCCGAATTTTTGTGTCCAAATGCGTCGTATGAAATGACCAGTCTATATGTTGTATGGTTAGTGATTTCAGTCAGAGCTTGCAACTCAGTGAATGAGACATTTCCGACCCTATAAAAGTATTTATATTCTCGTGATACTGGTCACTAGGAGAGTCGATCTGGCTACAGGAGCAATAAAAACACAAACCCAAAATTTTAACTTTGATGTTTTTTAATTTTTGTTTTGTTGTTTTCAGATATAGTAACAGTTTAAAATGTCAGAATTAAGACTGAACTTTAATTTAAATCGTCCAACTTATTATAAAGTTTCCTTGGAAACAATAGGGATATAAAAAAAATAAATAGAATTTCTCTGTTTTAAAATTTGGTTTTTAATTCTTCTTGCTATAGTAATGATGTAATATTTCAGAATAATAATCGGAAAACTATGTAATATAACTGCCATAGAAACGATCGAATAATTGAGCTTATACGCATATAAAACCAAATTTAGAAGTTACAAATAACATTACAATAGCTGCAAGGGTATCTAAACTTCGGTTCGTAAACGACCCTTTCTTAACATCAACAGCCAGCTGAAGTCTAAGAGAACGCCAGCTCTTTCGCTGTTTGGGGTTCTCGCAGTGTGGTATCGAAAACATACCACTGTATCTGAAAGATACTTTGATACCCAAGAGAGCGGCTGGCGTGCTCTTTCGCTCTCTTAGCCACTTGTTGTGAGCGGTCTGGCAGTCAGCTGTGCGCCGTTCGGGTGCCTCTCAACGTCGGGCGGCACCCGCGTTCAGTCTGAGTCGCAAATCCCACACACTATGTTCAGGTGACGGATACGGATACGGAATCGTCGGAGTGCGCGGCCTTTTAAAGCTGAAAATGAAACTGAATCGGAATTTCTTTTCGCGTATTCGTTCGCATTCTTCCCGCTTTCGAGTGCCAAATATTTGAGGAAAAAAAATACAAAAAGTGGAAAGAAATATAAATTTTAGCGCACTGCTTGGATTGTTTTTGGTGATACAAAATCCTAGGGGAAAATAATAATATTTATAACACACTTCAGTTATATCTGTGAATTCGTTTATTTCCGTTGGCCATGTGCAAAAATTAAGTTGGCTGACGTAAAAGAGTTGGGAGACGATAGTAAAATTTAACTGATAAGGTTTCGTCTTATCAATTCTCTTTGTGTGTGTTTGTGTTGATAGTGCAACAAAAAGAAGAAAAATAAAGAAATCAGGCTGCAAAAAAAACAATAAGGTTCTGCTAGAAGCTGCGAAGTGGAAACAAAGCGCAATAAGTTGGAAGGAAATCAGCCATTTGAATCATCGGAATATTCCATGTAAATATGCATTATGATTGTTCGTTTCCCGCTCTATATCTTGTCCAAGCAGTTTACAAGTACAAAACAATGCGCGTCATTTGCACTTCAGATATTCATAATGGAAATTATAAATAGATATATTCAGGTGTCCTCCACGCAACTAGACAGTAAATAAAGTCAACGTTGAATAATATATATGTATAGCTAATAAAAAGTAGCTGCAATCTGTGATGTCAGGAGCTGAGTTGGGGATCTGTTTACCATTATCAGTTATTGTCAGACTTTGCCGAAATGATCAATATATATAAATTGTTTGTTTTTTTCGGTGCCCTGACGTCAGCCGGTTTCACTTCCCGAACGGGTTCTATTCTGACTTTTATTTGTTTAAATTCCCATATGAGTAAGTAATCATTTGCGGACACGCTAGACGATTTTTAAGTTGATTTATCCGTTGCCAATTTGGTCGGGGAATACATTTTTATGACCACATTTTTAATGGTTTTGAGAAAATAATTAACTGAACTGTATTTCTGTGTGCTGTAGGGTGATACCGCGTGATTTGGGCGAATCTAGATATTCTCATGATTGTTTTGCTCAATTTGGTAATTGATATAGTGGCATGTTGAAATAAAATGGTTAAGTATTCTGTATTCATCATTATGGTCATATAAGGGTGTACAATAGGTTATAGCGAAATTTAAAATTGTGTTGGAGGGTTTAACTGAAGAAGATTTCAATGAAGTGCTGGTTGAAAACAGAATGGCTTTAAATTTCATAGATAATCAATGTTACTTATCCTTGTTAGAGCTTTCCCAATTTAACCTTTTCTTTGACAAATATTAGATTTCGTTCACTTCATTTAAGTACCTTCTCTTCGTATTCCCAACTAATAATCGTTTAGCTTTGCAAAAACAATCAACTTTTTACTATAAATAAACCGACCAGTAGATAAATTGTATGCCCAGCAACACATTCCTAAGTTGTATTTGCCAAAGGTATAAAAGAAAAGGATGAAAAATCCGAAACAAATCATTGTATAGAAAAGGTCGGGCACACACACAGCTCGATGAGCATTCAGACAGAGCATTGCCGACCAATTCTAACCTTCAGACCACTGTGGTAACCACTAAACTGTTTTTGGCCCGGAATATCGCCAGCTCAAAATTGTCTGAAATAAATTTAGACCGAGTTTACTGCGTCAAATCGAATTGGGGAAAACAGGGTAAAGGAAAGTAAAGGAATGGACTGACGTTGGCACGCTATTGCGGTGGTTTGACGACTCGGCTCCCGTTCTAAGTCCCCTTTCTGTTCCCACTATTCGATATGGGTGGTGCGGTGTATTTTATCAAGCGAACGAACAATAAACACAACAGCCACTATTGTCGTACCGAAGCAATTGAAAAATGGGTGTGTAGTAACTCACTTAGCTAGACTCCACTACAAACCACTCCAATCCACACCCCGTCCACCTGCTGCTCGACTTTTTCAGCATATTTTAAGCGCGCCTGCCAAAGAAACATGCCAGAAACACACAAAACTACAGGGCGGAGGTCGGGGAAAGGGTGTATAAAAAAGACTCGAGTGTTGCCAACATTTTCCTTCTTCTCGTGTTGATGGTGCCAAGAATGCAAATGGCGCGCGCTGCCAACGCATCGCGTAGTTCCTCGCTGTTTTGGGCCACTGTACAGTATTCACTCCACATTATTCCTGCAGTTCCACAGAACACTTGGACCCAAAAAGCGGGACTGTTTGTGCAATGTACGGAGAGAGTATTTTGAGTTTTGCCGAATAAAAAGTGAACAGAAATCAATACTTGCCACTTGAGTTGACACTGGCATTATACGTTGCGTTTGCTCTTTTATTGCCACATTTCTCTGTCGCTCAAAAAGTTGTATTGAACGAAAAGTTGCGCAGCTTTTGTGGTCTTAAAGGGTACTCGTAATGAAATGTAATCTTAGTTTTGATGGTTAACTCAAGAATGTTCAAAATAATTCTTATCTAGAATTATCAAGAAAAATGTAAAAAATGTATCCATAAAGGTAAATACATACATGAAAAATTCTAGCAATGAAACGCTTTACAATAAAACCAACTTTATTCAGAAAATGCAGTTGACTAATTACAGTACAGTTAATTGTTTGTTTTGTTAAAAGCAATGATCAGGTTTAAAACAGCTTGGAGTGCTGAAATAACATTCCATTCCTCTTGATAAAATCATTAACTAGTGGAGTATTATATTAGTGACTGAAACCAAATGACAGTCGAATGAGCAGCGACTTTGTGGAGTCAGTCAGTCTCTAAGCAAACGACACAAGATATTGCAACAAGTTTAGTGAGACAAATGAAAAAATAAAGAAAAGAAGCAGAGGCAGAGGCAATTGCGGTTAATCAGGGGATAATAACCTCTGCCAATGATGGGAGGAGAAGTGGAAAGAAGCCACTAAAACAACATCAAAGTGCCACCCGGACAAACCGCGAATACACCCATAGTAATAATCAAGTTGGGTAGCGGCGACGACGGCGATGATGATGAAAAGGCAGCCACAGCAGCCCAAAGAGAAGAGTTCAGTGCATCGGAGGGCAAATGCATGATTGGAATATTTTTTGTGCTGTCAACCAAGGGGAAGAGCAGTTCATGCCACAGCGGATGCGTTCATTTAAGTTATGGCACAAGGGGTCATCCGACTGCCGTGCAAGAATTTGCCGCCGTCCAATCGGTCGAGTGGAGCTGGGTTTTATAGTTTCGGCGGACTTTATCTTTTCCCCAGTGATCGCATTTGGTTTCGTGTGCCTGTCCGAGTTATGCGGAAATTAATGCGAAAATGGGTTCGTTGCGCACTGTCCATTTTTAGATCAGACACCGCCCTGCTTCAGTTGCAACTGCAACTGCCACTATAGCAAGACAAACCGGACATTAATTGTCAACAAACATGCGCAACGCGTGCTCCCCGTGTGTCCCGTGCGTCTCGTGTTTAATGCCTTTGCCCGGGTCGCTGAGCGCCTTGCATGTGCGAAAATAATTGCATTTTGCCATTAACATTTAATGCAAATGCACGGCAGTCAGCCGCAGTCATAGGACCCCACCCATGGACATTTTTCTAAATGTCCATTACCCGGGTCGGCTCGAAAACGGTTGGGCACGTGTGGTTGGACTATAATCGGTTCGGTTTGAAGGACGTGAACAGAGAGACTAAAACCCCAGCGGATATAATCAACGGCAGGTGCTAAAAGAGTAGCGTTATTATTATAAAGTTTTATAACAACGTGAAAAAAGTTTACGTTATCAAGAAACGGAACTATTATTACATAAATTATACGCTATAAAGTATGAAATAAATATATTAAACTCATTGGTATATAAGGGACATTTTAAAACAAAAGATTGGTTATATTAACTTTTAAATTACTACTTATAATTTTAAATTGCCATTTTTTTTTTTTTAAATAAAGGAATTTTTCTGTTCACAACTAAGTGAAAACTTTACATATTTTTTTCAATTTTATGTTAAACCCGCTCTTTCTAAACACATTTGCTTAAATTTTAAACATGATTCATAATTGTAAAAGAAAACTATAACCCATCGCTTTCTATACGGGCAATCTAAACAATGTAATTAAAAACTACTTCGTTTTCAACGCCTTTACAAACACGAAACCTTTCTCAATAACATGTAATTTAGACAGACTTTGTATGTCGAGACGCTTCAAATTTATATGGAAAGAAGCCCTTGGGCAAGTGTTCCGAAAATTTAAATAATCTTTGCACGAGCCAGCAACTTTTTGTTAAATGCATTTGCATTCAAAGGAAATTTAATATGTTCTGCTTGCAATTACTCAAAACTAACGTCTGAGAGCGGACCCAAAAAAAGTCACGACACACATTGTATCTGATAATCTGAGACTCGTGCAAGGCGGTGTGTGTAATTTGAATGATTTTCTTGATTTCTGTTACAAAATTGGTCGAGTTAAAGAAGTTGTTTGAAATTGAAACCCAACAAAGTTTTCCGGGTCACTTTGAACTCGGCCATGTAATACTGACTCGATAAAACTGGCACCAAAACAAAAACCAATTTACATCAAGACGCGGATGGGCCGCAAAAGGCGTTAAAATGTTTCGGATTTCCCTTCACAGACACTGCGCATTTCGTAATCAATGAATTCGTCAAGGCGATCCCAATCGTTGCACTTTTAGTGTAGGTCGATTAAAACTAAACTGCGCAACAAACACGAACACTCGGGTGTAAACTAAGTATTTTTTTCGCCTTAGCACGCTTTACAAAAAAAAAGTCATCCAAAGCAGATAATTAATAAGCATGCAAAATATTAGACTACCCGGAACTAGTAAATAAACTCAATAACATCGTCATCTCCGTTTCTTTATGACACACCTTTGTTGATTTATGCCTCCATAGACGAATAATTGCGATAATAGAAAAAATATTATGTTTGGGCCCATTTTAACAGTAGGCCTAAAACCATTAAAATTGCACACTCCGAGATCACTTCGTGCTAAAAGCAATAAAAGACAAAACTAAGCTAGGGTCTCCATATTCTCTTCGTTTCATAAATCTGTAAAGTAGAAGAAGCCAACTAATGCCATTAAAGCGGCCATAATTAATTTAATAGCCCCGGACACGGACATGTAATCTAGCCCGTCCTGTTAACCTTCAGTCCCCAAGTGCCAGCACTCTCTCCCTCTTTTTCCGACTGTATACCTTCAACAATGCGCCCAGATATTTAGATACTTTGTGAATGCATCATGCCCACAATGCGCCTCCAGTTTGCCAGGCAATAAAAACTGCGCCTTGTAACCAAATTCTCCCAGTTTTGAGGGGCAAGGCAAGACGTGCTCAAAGACCGGACTCCATGGCAGCCCCTGAAAATAGCCGACAAAACCGAGCTAATTGCTTCTGCCGCCAGTCGGGGTGGTACTCGAAACAGGGGCGGCGGTGGGTGGTGCACTACTGAAAATGAAATGCAACTGCTGAGCATAAAATGTACGAATATAATGTTGTAAT